GTTTCCTGACGTTCTCAGTGCTCTTTTCCATAACTCTTTGAGTGATATGCAGTTTGTCTCAGAGCGCTGCATTTCATCTTTCTCATCCATACAGCATCGTGTAAGAGATGTACCCATTGAACACACTTTCTTCACACTCTGAAGGAATCATCCTATCACTTTCTGAACTCGGCCCCGTTAACCTGTTCTGTAACCATCGCATCGCTGGACTGTGATATACGTTTATCAGCTCTGCTGGATGACCGTTCATCTTCATGTCAAATTCAGTGTAGTACAGACTCTTCGTTCATTTCAGTTTTCTCGCATGAACAGACATCTGCATCTCTGCAGCAGTTTCTCATTGCCCTCAAGCCATTATCCTTTCCATCACTCTTTAAGTGAGTTGCACAGAAATCACGTTCTTCTCATTTATCTTAAACAGGTAAGAGTGCGACCCCCAAACGGTTCATCAACCATATGTTTCATTCTAAAAGCAAATCTGTCGACAAGAAAGTTACGTCGACTTTGTATTAAAATGGAGGGTTGGGTCACGGTCCTCATTAAGCCTCAGAGAAGGCACTACTTGAGGTTACTTCGAACAGAACAAATGGAGGAAAGGGCTGGCAAGGTAACATCAACAAATGAACTTAACTGAACGTCCGTGGTGCCACTAAAATCTTTCACTGAGAAGTTAAATAATATAGCATATTTAGCTATCTATGAATAGAAAATAACCATGATTATTGCAGTGAAATGCAGGAAGCTGCCAATTACAATTGATGGGCGAACATCACTGAGAACAGCGGGCTTTTCGAGTGAATATATTTTGATTATTGTCGGTCATTCATGACGCTCTCTGACGCAACAATCCTTCATCGCCTTCCTCATCGTAATCAGGAGCGACTGAATAACGCCGCCTTTAAGCGAATTTATTTTCCTAACGTCACCGATCGAGATATCCTCCTGACTCAGTTTGAATTACAGTATACTTTTCATTGTATTTTAAAGACTTGCATTCGTTATGTCTAAGCTTTAGATATCTGGCGTGGTCGCTCAACCTTCGTTTGATAACTGACATTACTTAGAAAACACGGTGGGTATGTGATAGGTATTAAGGTAACCATGGGTTCGTTCGCCAGAGTATGTTAACAAGTTTAATTGACACTCCAAATCCGGATTTGGAGTGTAAATTATAGTGTAAAGGAACTGCCCTTTGGCGCCAATGT